AAAGGGCGCATTTACGAACCTAATGGTTCTCTTACATTCGTTCCCACATCCACGACCTATAAGCACTCCTTCCAATGACAGTTTTGGTCCATTCCTTTTTAATTACCATTAGTTATTATTGCTAGCGAAGTGATTCGAGTCGAGTAGATCTTACAAACTCAAATTAACGGATCATATCAGCTAAATGTGAGAAAAAGCTCAACTATCGTGCTGCGAAACATAAAGATATATGAAAAAGCGAGATGTTAAACTCTATGGAATACAAAAAGCAAGTAATACAATGCGCAGTATCATATTCCGCATTGAGTGTGAGATCTTAGTTGGTGGGGAACATAACCGAGAGGAGGAGGGACACAGAAACGCACAACACGAAGGCAATTTAAGTCGTCACTTTACCATGACAATTGCCTCTAACCAAACGTATTCATCGACCTTGTGACCAAGGCCCGGCAGTCGGCAGGCACCGACCGACGCCAACTCTGAAGCGAATGACTTCATTCCACTTGACCTACTGTGCGGTTGTGAAACCTAGCCGCTTAAAGCAGCGGACATAAAAAGGCTAGTTACATTCGACCATCGGTGCCTTCGCAGTTTGGCTCACATCTGGTGGGAACACCGCGTGAACAATGAGTGTGTTCGACGCCTTGTTTATGGCACAGGAAAAGGAAATGAACCGCTCAACACCGTCATTTCACGCACCAGGCTCCGATGGCTCGGCCACGTGTTACGCATGCCAGCCCACCGACTTCCACGACGTGCGTTGTTTGCGCGCCGGGGGTGTGGATGGAAGAAGAGGAGGAGTGGCCAAGCGATGACTTGGTCCAGAGGAATGAAGGCCCTCACTTCTGAGCTGGTCTCGGTTGGAACGTCTCGGCTCCTTGGTTGGGGTCCGAAAGACGATGAACACGTCTGGTTGGACACACTTGTTGATATCGCTAGGAGCCAACCTCAGTGGCGTTCGTGCTGTGAGTTTCTTTGTCCACCCCATCCCTCTTAGCCTCACCCTCCAACCACGATCTCATTAGTTAGCCTTATATAATTTTGCATAGTAATTTTTTGATGCACAGTAGCCGGCTGGTAGCTTACCGGAACGATGAGCATCCGTTACCGGTAGCTCAGCCAGCTTGCACCAGTTGCATTTTATTTGCTTTTTTCTGTGTATTGCGGCACAATAGCTGAGGTGTTCCCCACCTCTAGCTAACTTGTATGATGATGATGATGATGATGACTTGGCCAAGTCATCGGTTGGCCTCCCCCCTCACGAACCGTAATTGAGCAAGCAACCTGACAAGACGAGTCGCGTCTCTCGGCTCCTCAGGATGGGACACGGTTGCACTCATCCCATTATGATCGATACAACTTGACGACCGCATGTGAGAGAGCTGACCATTCTTCAACCTATGTATGAACACCCTGGAACTGTCCTGGTTCATATCGAATCGGTCTGGAAACTCAATGATAAAACAGGAGCAATCCATACTGGTGCTATGCCGTGGACGTTTGAGCTGAAATCGATTAATGCATTTTTGAAGAAGCCACATAAAAAGAGTCAAACAACATTGGTGAAAGTGAGTCTCAGTGATTTAATCGGCCAGAAGTGAAGTAGTTCGCATACAACAAACGAGTACACCTGACTCGGTACCATCAGAAAGCACGCATTCCGTAGGGCGATCCAAACTTTGCTCACAAGATCCAGTGTCACGTAGGGGTCATATATGATGGATTGCGCTTAGATGCATAAGATGGCAAAGGTGAGAAAAGATGGCGTGTTTGGTGTAAGCACAGTTTGTACAAAACGGTGAACTCATGTCACACGCTTGAGGAATGCGCAAAAACTGTGAGTGTAAAATGGACAAAAATGGACAAGAAATCTTTACTGCGGCTCAACTGAATGTGGTTTTCACAAGCAGACCTTTACTAGTTCCGAAATTCAAAGACCAAGTGCCTAAATATCTCCAATCAATGTTAATCTACCGGTTCACCTGCCCGTGCGGGGCCAGGTACATTGGACGGATGACCAGGCATTTAGGTAAGAGAATTAAGGAACATCTCCCAGGTTGGCTCTACCATTGCGAGAGTAGGATAAACTACAATGCGAGTACGAGCCATCTAATCAACACAGACCACCAGATAAACAAACAGACATCCTTTCAGGTTCTATACAGAATATCACCAAGGCATAATCATCGTGTAAGATCAAGCCTAATTGCCACCGCTTAGGCAATATGCATACGCCAGATAAGCATGGACTTGTGTGTCCAGAAGAAGATGACACAAACACTACAACTTCCCTGGCCGACCACCAGACGGGAAGGAAGTGATGGCATTTCACAACTCCACCTGACTTCAGTCATGTGATTTGATGACTACCGTCATGATCACAAGTTAAATTTTTTGATCAATTGTTTTGTTGTAATGTTGACGATTGCAACAGACCTTACCCTAATGTATATATTACTGTATGAACCTGACGAGGAATTAATCGAAAACAATTGTTCGTTTAAAGCTTCGTGTTTTATTTCTCTTTCTGAATGCGCAAAAGCTTGCGTGGAAGTTGGATGACAGAATCTTAGTGGATAACGGAAGGTACATCGCGGGTATCTTTAAGAGAAAGATAGACTAACATGAATATTCGCGCATAAGCGGTAGTTAGTTTTCTGGATATAAGTAATAAGGAATTACACATAGTTAAGGGTATTGTGAATTCGCAAATGCCAGATGTGTTCTGGGATATTCGATCTCGTGGAGCAACTCAGTGGAACAAACTAGAGGGCTGGAAAAACATTACAGGTGAACATGTGCGGACCAGTTTCACAGAAGATGTAATGCACCAGCTAACCATGACAACACATTCGTTCGCAACCGAGGGTCTTTTGGAGTTCGTGGCTAAGATTTTGGTGGCAAATGTTCGAGAGCTTCGAGATGGTGCGAAAACGTCAATTTTAAATGAACGGCTGTATCACCAATTTTCATCGTCCCGTCTCAGTTTGGTTTGTGATGTCGACGAGGTGCGCCTGCTACTTGCGAACCTTGACGGTACCAAGCCTGCAGGGCCTGACGGGCTTCATCCGCTAATTATCAAATCACTAACTGCCATTATCTCGCCTGCTGTTACGGATCTATTCAACAAATCATTGTCTGAGGGCTCGGTGGTGAGGCCGATCCCGAAAGGTGGCGACCCCAGTAAGGTGGATAACTACAGGCCAATTTGTCTTACACCCGTTTTGGCCAAAGTGATCGAGAAGATAGTAAAAAAGCGTCTAATACATCTGTTGAAATTGAAAGAACTTCTGACACCGGCACAACGCGGATTCAGGGTGGGATATTCTTGTGTTACCAACTTACTTGTGACGAGACAGGAATGGTTGCAAGCACTGAACCGGGGAGTCCGTCGACGTAATAATCTACATCGACTTCAGCAAAGCATTCGACAAAGTTAACCATGAAGTATTTCTAGACAGATTAAGGTCGTGTGGTGTCGGAGGATCGTTACATCGATGGATCCATGAATTTCTCGTTGGAAGAAAGTGGAGGGTACAGGTGGACGGCCATCTAACCGATTGGGATCCCTCGACCAGTGGTGTACCTCAAGGTACGGTACTGGGACCCACTCTGTTTCTCATCCATGTCAACGAGCTGACCCAGCTTCTACGGTCGCCGTGTGCACTGTTTGCGGATGACCTCAAAATTTGGCGAGAAATTAATACTCTTGATGACTGTGACATTCTCCAACGAGACCCCGATCACCTCGCAGTATGGTCTGCTGAAGTCCACCTACCGGTCAACCCGGCAAAGTCCGTATTCATGAATCTCGGGAAGGCTGTTCACGGACGAACGTACACCCTAGACGGCCAACCACTGCATCCCACACCTTCCGTGAAAGACCTAGGTGTACTCTCACGCTGCGACTTGAAGTCCGTCGACAACACCAACAAACTGTATCGAAACGGACTGCGCATGATCTGGGCGCTGAAACGCAGCTTCTGCACTTGGTCTGAGGACGTCGCCACTCGCATCTTCTCTTCCATCGTCAGACCAATGCTAGAGTACGGCTCGCCTGCATACTGTTCGATCACTCGCGGCGAAGCGCAAAAGATCGAACGAGTACAACACGTCGCCACCAAGTTGATCCCCAGCTTGAGAGGCTTATCGTATGAAAACCGGTGCATGAAACTTGGGCTCTACACCTTGTCTTATCGCCGTGTTCGAGTGGATCTTATCATGACCTACCGTATTTTACATCTCGGCCATTTCCCCATGCTAAGGTCGTTACTCCACTTGCGAGTACCATGCACCACACGTGGGCACAGGTACAAACTCATGGTACCTGATGTGAAGAAAATCCCACACCCCCTGTGTTTCGAGCGGAGGGTTGTGCACGCCTGGAACAGTCTGCCAGAACACGTCGTCGAGGCCGAATCTGTGCAGAAATTCAAATCTTTGTTGGATTTACACTTCGCTAACCTACGTTTCAGAAAACGGTTGCCACTTGACAACGATCTCACCCACCTGTGACTCACTGTGTGAACAAGCATTTTGTGTGCTACAGAAGGAGTCGCTGAACCATCTCAGGATAACCACCGGACGTGCTTATTTTTTTTAAATGTTTTTGATTATCACCCAATGGAGTTGCACAGAATTATTTTCTACTTGCTCCAAAATACGGTATTCAGTATTCAGTGGACACTTTAAAGCAGTCATGTCACGGCGCCTATCTGTGTATGAGTTGCCGCATCCGAATCGATCGCTAAGGAGTTTAAAAGAGCAGATTTAAATCCGGGGAACTCATACGGTTGAGTATGTGACGTAAATGTAAGAGGAATATTTGTGCACCAACAGCTCAGTCCTTAGCGAGCGAATGAAACGACACAAAGATCTAATATAAATCGAGAGGGGAAAATATAGGAAAGCATGCGGAATATTCACGTGGCGAAGGAAACTGGAAAATCTAATCTAGACAGATAGACGTGGAAATTAAAGTAGTTAGATCTACCACTTACCTCGGTAAGGCAAGCGAAACGAGCACCGATGACGCACGAGCCGTATAACCTGTGAGGAGGGATAATGCAACGTCAAATCGAGGAGTAACGAGGAAGCACCATACAGCGATGATACCGCTAACACTTGACGTGCAGTCATCATCACCAAGAGCAGTACAACACCCATTTGAACAGACGCTTTGCTGTCGTACAATTACGATGAACTGCGGAAAGAAAGATAATAGTGTCATAAGCAAATATTCAGGCCTAAAGTGTCTATAGTGTCAAAAACTTACCGTCACAAACAGCTGGTTATCATGCAAAGATAAGGAGGCGTCATCAGGATAATTTGCTTGCGGGTTTCATTGCCTCGCGTCATAATCAGCCATTACCCAGCCCCAGATAAATAAGCACCAAACACACTTTAAACAGTTAGTCCTACTGGGAGACGGCAACAGACGCGCCACTGATGTCGACTGCGAGTCATATCCTGCAACGTCTCGAGTCCAGTACTAGGTGTGTCAAGTGGACTGTAGCCTAGAAGGCCAGAATGGACCAAAAGCGTTCAGATTGGTCGTCAGTCATTTCCCGCTGCCAAGTTAACTCTATTCCACTTCGAGCCTTGCGCCAACTTACATAAAGCAACCAGAATAAGGTTCTCCTCGGTAAGCGGCGATAAGGCATAGGTGGTACAGGTCTAAACCAACACAAATTACTCAATGCAGCCGGCTGTTCCAAGGAACTAGTCTTGTCATTGCCTACCACTCGCCTATGCAAATCATCGCTGCGGACAAACTGGTGCCATCAGACATCAGTAGTGTCTCGCAGGCGGTGATGATCAGACTTGAAAGCGCTTCAGATCTTCAGACCAGAGGTGCCAAGTCTCAGCGCCGAAGAGTAGGACAGGCCTTATGGTGGCCTTGTAGCACAATCTATCAGATCGAAGTGCAGTGGCCGACGAAAAACAAAGGCAGATCATGAGAAGGTCAAAAGGAGCAGAATGAGTTCGGTATCATTACCAAGGAGTATCGGTACCGGTTTGTCAGAGTAGCAGGGGCCAAAGATTGTCATCTAGTTGGAAGAATACTGAATACTGTATTTTGGAGCAAGTAGAAAATAATTCTGTACAACTCCATCGGGTGATAATCAAAAACATTTAAAAAATAAACACGTCCGGTGGTTATCCTGAGATGGTTCCGCAACTCCTTCTGTAGCACACAAAATGCTCGTTTACACAGTGAGTCACAGGTGGGTGAGATCGTTGTCAAGTGGCAACCGTTTTCTGAAACGTAGGTTAGCGAAGTGTAAATCCAACAAAGATTTGAATTTCTGCACAGATTCGGCCTCGACGACGTGTTCTGGCAGACTGTTCCAGGCGTGCACAACCCTCCGCTCGAAACACAGGGGGTGTGGGATTTTCTTCACATCAGGTACCACGAGTTTGTACCTGTGCCCACGTGTGGTGCATGGTACTCGCAAGTGGAGTAACGACCTTAGCATGGGGAAATGGCCGAGATGTAAAATACGGTAGGTCATGATAAGATCCACTCGAACACGGCGATAAGACAAGGTGTAGAGCCCAAGTTTCATGCACCGGTTTTCATACGATAAGCCTCTCAAGCTGGGGATCAACTTGGTGGCGACGTGTTGTACTCGTTCGATCTTTTGCGCTTCGCCGCGAGTGATCGGACAGTATGCAGGCGAGCCGTACTCTAGCATTGGTCTGACGATGGAAGAGAAGATGCGAGTGGCGACGTCCTCAGATCAAGTGCAGAAGCTGCGTTTCAGCGCCCAGAGCATGCGCAGTCCGTTTCGATACAGTTTGTTGGTGTTGTCGACGGACCTCAAGTCGCAGCGTGAGAGTACACCTAGGTCTTTCACGGAAGGTGTGGGATGCAGTGGTTGGCCGTCTAGGGTGTACGTTCGTCCGTGAACAGCCTTCCCGAGATTCATGAATACGGACTTTGCCGGGTTGACCGGTAGGTGGACTTCAGCAGACCATACTGCGAGGTGATCGGGGTCTCGTTGGAGAATGTCACAGTCATCAAGAGTATTAATTTCTCGCCAAATTTTGAGGTCATCCGCAAACAGTGCACACGGCGACCGTAGAAGCTGGGTCAGCTCGTTGACATGGATGAGAAACAGAGTGGGTCCCAGTACCGTACCTTGAGGTACACCACTGGTCGAGGGATCCCAATCGGTTAGATGGCCGTCCACCTGTACCCTCCACTTTCTTCCAACGAGAAATTCATGGATCCATCGATGTAACGATCCTCCGACACCACACGACCTTAATCTGTCTAGAAATACTTCATGGTTAACTTTGTCGAATGCTTTGCTGAAGTCGATGTAGATTATTACGTCGACGGACTCCCCGGTTCAGTGCTTGCAACCATTCCTGTCTCGTCACAAGTAAGTTGGTAACACAAGAATATCCCACCCTGAATCCGCGTTGTGCCGGTGTCAGAAGTTCTTTCAATTTCAACAGATGTATTAGACGCTTTTTTACTATCTTCTCGATCACTTTGGCCAAAACGGGTGTAAGACAAATTGGCCTGTAGTTATCCACCTTACTGGGGTCGCCACCTTTCGGGATCGGCCTCACCACCGAGCCCTCAGACAATGATTTGTTGAATAGATCCGTAACAGCAGGCGAGATAATGGCAGTTAGTGATTTGATAATTAGCGGATGAAGCCCGTCAGGCCCTGCAGGCTTGGTACCGTCAAGGTTCGCAAGTAGCAGGCGCACCTCGTCGACATCACAAACCAAACTGTTGAGTTCTACAAGAATGTTACTCGCTGAGATGGGTATGGACGCCGCGTCGTTTGCAAACACGGAAGCGAAGTGAGCGGCCAGTGCGGACCCGCGATCGGAACTGGAAGTTAGCAAGTGTCCGTCCGCGTCTTCCAGACATGACACGTAACCTTTTGGCTTCAAACGGCGTTTCACGTAAGCAAAGATCTTCTTTGGGGCCATCCTCGCGTCAGTTGCAAGCTTTTCTTCGAACTTTTGGCGCTTTATCAATTTCACTTTGTTGCAAATATTTCGCTGTCTTTTATATGCTTCATAATCAGTGGCGGAGCCAGAGAGGCGAAATGCGTCCCACATTCTTCGCCGTAACCGAGCCAGCCTACCATATTCCTTGTCGAACCAGTGTGGTTTGTTTGGTCCGACTTTCTGAAATTTCAATGGCACAAACTGAGAACAAAGCGAAGCCAATCTTTCCTTTATTACTGTCCAACCATCCTCCACAGATGTAACATGCGGTAGAGACCAATCCATTTGGCTCGCTGCTCGATTTAATCCATCGAAATCAGTTTTCCAGTAGTTGTAAGCTGGTTCCACCGGAGATACACTCGGCAAGTTCAGTTCCATAGTGGCTATCAGCAAGGAATGGTCGCTTTTAGCTAGGGGCTCCTGGATTCGTATGTCATGCAACCGCTGTTCGCAATTCGTCACTATCAAATCAAGGCACGATGGGTTAGAACGCGACGTCATGCGCGTAGGTTGGCATATGTGTTACGATGCCCCAGTTTCAAGCAACAAATCAACGAACTTTGATTCGACTTCGGAATACCCGGGCATGAGTTGGATTTCAGCCCATTGAATGTGGGGACAATTGAAGTCACCCATGAGTAGAAAACATGGACGACTCATGTTGTTCCGAAGATGCGGTAGCCAATCTAAAGAGCGGTTCAGAGGGCTACGGTAGAGTGCACCTACTGTCAGCTTGCCGCGCCTGAGGTTGATCGAGCACCATACCTGTTCACACAGTCCATCTTCACTTCGGTACACGCTTACAAGCCTCCCACGCAGGGAAGACCGTATATAAAGTAAGACACCATCACGAGGATTTGATATTCTATCGCAGCGAAAGCATAAGTAGCCACTGAGATCGACTTCCTCTGCCATTACCTCGGAAGTTAGCCATGTCTCCGCCAGTCCTACGACGTCTGGTCGTTCAGAGGCAACGAAGCGACACAGCTCATCCCGTTTGTTCATAAGGCTACAGATGTTCGTGAATGCAGCACGGAGGTCCTGAGAGGCACCGCGGGACGTGCCTGGAGGTTGATCAACCGACTGATACGGGTTCGTGCACCCTTCTTGATCACTCGAAAATTTACGATGTGCAGACCAGTTTCGCCTTCTTCTGTACGGCGTTTAAGCTCAAGGACCGCAGTCTTCAAGCGGTTCCTCTCTTTGGGTTCCAAGTCTCGGCGGATGTGAACCCTGGTGCCTTTAAGCCTGGAGAGACGAGACAGAATGAGTTGTGGCGTGTTGTGGTCAGCGAAGGTGATTCTTAAAGGTCGACATGATTGGTTAGTATGCTGACCAAGTCGGACTACTTGTTTTATCGTTACGCTGCCTTCACCCACATCCAACAGTTTATCAACGAGCCCCTGAAGGAACTCAACATCGTGATCATAACGTTTCTGAGGGTTTTCATCTTTTGACTCTGGTGCATAGAACACCATGAGATTATAACGCCTCAGGGAGATCGGTGACGAACTTGAGGCAGCAGGAGTGGAGGGGCTTGTCGTTTTGGACGGTCGTCTATCGTTAGGGGGAGGTTGAAAGTTGTTGCGTGAACTTTTGCGTTTTTGAATGAGGTGGGATAAGTGAAGAAGCCTTAATAACCCCGTTCTCTCACTTGATGTGGACCAAATACAATGAATATCACCGGGGAATTAGGGGAACAAAACCTGTCGCCAAATAGGTAACGTCATATGCTACACAGATAAGCTATTATTATTCAACTGCTCAAGCACATAAACAAACCTGTATGATAAATGGTTACCAAAAATTATTAGCACAGCTGAAAACCATTGGGTGGGACGTGACTCAAACGAGAGACAATAACCTTAGCAGCACTGCTTTTCAGCACAAAAGTTCACACCGCGTCAAAAGGCGTTCACCGAATTCCTCAAGGACCTAGATTCAAATTGACCATGTTGTCATCAGCCACAGATGGCGCACATCAGTAAAGATTGTTGGTCAATTTGGAGTACGTGCCTGGATTCCGACCACGCTCTAGTGCGTGCATGCCTGACGCTCACTCTTCCCATTTCAAAGGAGCGCCTATCTTCTAGCCTTCTTACTTGCAACTTGAACTCGCAGTCAGGAGTTCAACAATATAATGACAAACTGGCCCACCAAATATCAGTGATGAATGAGGTTGATGAACCGGACGCTGATTGGGATCGTATCAAATGTGCCATGAACAATGCCTTTGACGCATGCTGTGCACCCGACTTGAGAGGTAGCTGTGAATGGATATATGAGGCGTGGATCAGCTTGATCGAAGCATACAAGCAGGTTCCGATGGATATGAACCGGCGAAAACATGAAAAATAAGTATAAGGGTAAAGAATCGTCAAACATATGAGTAACAAGTGGAAGGGATGACATATAGTAATAACACAGGAAGTGAGAGTCGCTAACTCTCAAAACACGGAGGATATTATGTGTCAAATCGCAATCTAAGCCTTAAGGCCAAGTGCAGAATCAATTTTTACCATAGCATTGACAAATCACCCGGTGAATTCACCTAAAAGGGAGCGACATCCGACTCCAAAAGTACCGTATCGTCCACGCGGTGTAATTCGGTTAGTTGACGAACTGGGAAAACTTATGCCTCGGAAAAGTGCCCAATGACGCTCACCAACGTAATGAGAAGGAGGACGAGGCCGATCATAAAACAATATACATATCTCAGAGAAATGTAGCGCCAATCCCCAACCTCAGACTCGTGCACATCCGCTGAATTCAAGGTGTAAGGATAAAGCGGTAAAATGAAGTGTGAGTGGTAGCAAACGGCAAGTGGAACAAGCGGGATGGACCGAAACAAAGGTATTCGGGTCGATGACGAGGAGCATGGCAAGACACCAGTACGTGCGATGCCGTACAGAAAGTGGCTAAAGTGTAACGGCATGATTAATGTATTCTCTGCTAAATGGATGCCAGTCTGGAGTCCAAAGATATGAAATTTCGGAAATCACCAAAATGACGAGCTTGTGACCATCGGTGCAACTAGACAATCTATCCCAGTAGCCCTTGGCTAGATGAGTGCCCTCCACATGTGGTGTTTTTCCCCTCCGGACTACTTCACCGGCGGGGAGTATCTGCGAGTTGTCTAAGCGAGCCATATAAAAGTTCGCTGAAAACTCCGCATTGAGCGCGGATGGACTGCTAGGAGACATTGACACTGGGTGATTCTTCTTCTCGATTCTGACTGTGACCATAATAATGTGCCAGCTGTACGCCGTAATGGGCATTTCGCTGCCGCGCGACCACCACTGGTCGCGAGCGGGCTGAGTATACCGCGAGGACGCCCACCTCTACACGGATTCGTACCGGGGACCTTATGGTTGCATACAGGTGCGCAGACTACTCGGACACCGGCCTACCTGTGACCATAATGATAATGAGTGATCCTTACTTTGCTGATTCAGCCAAGTACGAGGACGGCGCGGTACTATAGATGCGATTCGGTCGCTAAACATGCGTTGCTGAGGGAGACGACGCACAACGCGTTGGATGCTCCTACTGTTGATGTCGCAAGTTAAAAATGTGGTCTACTGGTACAATACGAGGCGGATATACGGCAAGCGAAGATCGGGCATACCAAATACTGAAATTAGAGAGCTAGTAGATATACATATATGTTGCTCTGGCACACAAGCAGAATAACGTTATTTTTATTATTGTGCATTTTCAATGTTAGTTCAGCTGTGCAACTTCCTAATCAGGTGCCACTTGTTCTCAGAATCCGTAACCTGAGGTGGGCATCTAAGAAATACTTGAACTCCGACACCGACTTCGGCTCGACTACATTGTTAAATTATTCCACTACTCGGAACTAGAAGCAGAGAGAGTGAGCGGTCAGCTTCAGATCCGTTAGTGCAAGCTTGTAACGGTGCCCGCCAGTGTCGCTTTTGGCGCCAACGTGCAGAAGCGGTCTCAACATAGGGTGGTCACCCAGCTGTAAGATACCGTGCGTTAGCATGACCGCCAGTCGAAACCGACGAATACGACAGAGTGTATGTGCCAAGTCATCTGCATCGGTCTTCCCACGAACTGGTGATGAGCTTTGTAGCGACATGTTGAACAAGTTTCAGTCTCTGCACCTCCCCACGGCTTATGGGGCAATAAACGACTGAACATTACTCGAGCACTGGCCATATGATGAAAGAGTGACAAACTCTTCAGACTAAGTGCAGGAGCCAAATTTGAGCAGAGTATACGTAGTCCGTTTCTGTATGGCCTGTTCATGGTGTCCACGGACTTCAAATCGCAACATGACAGCACGATTAGGTGCTTTACATTCGCGAGCCAACGCGACTTATCCAAGGTTATTTATTATTCTAAAAAACTAACCTGGCTATCCCCGCCCAGTACTCGCCTGCGCCGAGGAAATGGAGGGAAACCCTTCGGTGGAATAGCATTACTGTATGACCCAGTGTTGAGGACAACGAGAAACTGGTGGTCCCTGACCGCTGGTTCCACCGAAGTGCTGCCAAGAGCTGACGAGTACAGGGAGTGGATGTTAGCGAAGTTAATCGTTTGAGTTATGGCAACAGACCAGTTGTCCATTGAACTTTGGCCGCCCAAACTAAATAAAAAAGTTATGCTGTTAACGCGCCTGCTGACAGAATGCGCCTCTATACAACCATTGACGATATTACGAATAATTGGGTGAAATCTCTAGGCGGTCGGTCACAGACCCCGGGATCGGCGACATCAGTGCAGTCAGATGCGTAGTGGCGCGTATGCAAGCGGTCCCTCGTGTTTGACCCCCAATTTGACGATCAATTCCCATGTAGGACTATGTGAACTAAGACAACTAGATCGATTGCACTTGAACGCCTGGATGATGACGGATAAGTTGAAATGAACTGAATACTTTGGAAATAATGACAATAAGACCAGTGCCTCGGTTAGCTGAGTCCAACGGAGATATTCCCTCATTGACTGGCTCTTGGCCAATGAGTCTAGCTGGATCAATCCTAGCTTCTGCAGAGGTTATTGGTAAGGAAGCGGCTCAAACGGCCTCTATTATCGGACTCCAATTAACCCGCTTCAATTCAGAGAGAGTGCTGAACATATCAAAAAACTATAACCAGAGTGGTTAGGGTTTTTAAGCAAGGATGGAGGGAGCTCATCGGGTTATGTACTTTTACTTAAGAAGCCTAAGTCTAGAGGAAAGCTCTCTAAAGTAGATGAAAGAGACGTTAATACCTGATATGGTAAGGTTGTGGAGGTGTCAGCTGTACGCCAGTAAACTACACTGACGCATCGCTGCCAAGCAATCACAATGGGTTGTGCACGGGCTAGAATACTACCGAGGTGCCCAAACTATATCTAGAGCAGGAATTCAAAGCGAACCATAGACACAAAGGTTGGAGGCAAGGCGCATGAACCTCAGACAGGATAGTGGTTCGACACAGATGTTGTGGTAGCGACGTCGACGTTCGGTAATAGACAGCAGTTTAATCTAATAGTCAGCCATCCTTCGTTCAAACTTTGAAGAAGATGATATCGTGTTCCTGTGGAAACAAAAGCACCGATCAAGTGGCCTGACTCTTCCAAACTCGAACAATTCGGCCAGAACTCATTTGGTCATATAAGAGATAGAATTGAATGTATGTCACTTTTTACAACAACATTGGCCGAAGTGTTAGAATGTACCTTTGCTGGTCACTGACCTGAGAAATGTAAACAATGGACGCTATACTAAGAAGCGTAAGCGACCTTGCGGTATCCCATCCAGCATGCATCCAGTCCGAGCTCGGTGAACGGCTGATACCCTACTTTTTTTTGCAGTGTGAAGCTACATGGTTAAGGTTAAGAAAGAACATGAGAGTTTTGTGCATCATGTAAGTTCTTCTGGAGAAGACTACAAACGTTACAATCAAAGAGCAATAAAGACAGAAGGATGCATGTGCGAGTACTCACTTTAAAACGTTCTCGTGATTCAAAGAGCTGAGTAGTTCTATTTCACGGCGTTGTACTGATGTCTCCTTGGTCAGCTTCATCGCCATCAGGCGATCAGTCGGCAGGTGATGCACCTTGATAGTGCGTTACTTCAATGGTGAGAAGACATACTAGAAACACAGAGGCAAAATACCCATGACCCAACTTTCCCTTCACGACTAGGTCTTCACAACAGTACAAATGCGAACCAGCCTTTTGAATGGCTTGGGCCGACTTTGTAGGAATGAAGCTTGTATAATACTTATCGTTGATCAAGCCAGATGGCTCCATTGTTTGGAACGAGTGGAGAGAACTCGTGAACATGCATCGACTGAAACAAGAGTGTAAAGAATCAGTTTCCTAGATGGTCTTAGCGTCTCACGCACACGAGAAATGAGATAAGTTAAAAACATTCACGAATATCATGCTAGATAGTTAGTTGTTCGACAGCAAAATACGAGTCAATCAAACCACCATGACTGGGGTACCGTTAGATTAGCTGGTTCGTTCCGTGCTACAAAGTCACGCGGGGACAAACGGTGCCTGTTTGTCATTGCGGCCTACGCCCCCTACAAACTGTAGCACTGATTCGGTAAAAAAATGAGTTTTTTCAGCAACTCCACGATCTCCTTCGTTACAGAAGAAGCACGGATACTGTGGTGTTGGCTGGCGATCTAAACGTCCAAGTCGGAAAATTGTCCTCTGATGAACTTCATCTGGGCGGCCAACATGGTGTAGCCTCCCGAAATGATGACGATGAGCGATTGCTACAGATGTGTGAAGATGCTCGTCTCCTTCTCGAGAGCACAAACTTTCGACACAGCACCCGCAGAAGCGTGACTTGGCACCAACCAGCCTCGAACCAACCATGGAGGCAAATCGATCATATCGCGATCAGTTAAAGCTGGAGAGGCCGTCCAAAACTGTCGCTCGATTTGGAGCACGAGCGCGGACTCTGACCACGCACTTGTCTGTGCCGACCTCCGAATGCGTTTCGGTGGACGTCCACAACGTCAATGTGAACGGATTGACACCAGGCAGCCGGCGAAGCTAGGTATTTTGCACGCGTATTAAACCTTGCTGGCATCTGGGCGGAGTAAGCGCACACTGAACACCGTCGATGATCACTGGTCGCATATTCGTCAGACGTTACTATCAGCAAGCCTGTCTTCATGTGACAAGTCAAACTGCCAAACTGGACACTCGGTCTCTAAACAGTCTCCAGAAGTTTTGGATGCTCGGCGAGGTATTCCGGCTGTAAGTGAATACAATGAGGCTCGCAAAAATCTCAGGGAAAAACTACGTGATAGCATGAAGAAAGACCGCGAAGCCTGGTGGTCTCATCGTGCTTCGGTGATGGAAACAGGCACTACCGCTGGCAATCGTTGTAACTTATTTCGTCTCATCCGGGAAACAGGCAGCAAGAAAATGGGTGTTAGCGGGGCCACACGCGAAAAGAGTAAGCAACAAATACACAGCCAGTCAAAACGCTAGCAGCATTAAAATAAACAATTTGCAAGCCAATATAACCATCCTGAGTTAACACTTCCGTTTCCGGGCACTGAGTGCCCTTCTCTATGGGCCATCTCCTTAGATCCGCCCTCACGCGCAAAGTCGAACGTGAGATCAGACTATTGAAATTGCATAAGGCCGCTGGTACAGATAGAATTGCCCCAACCCTCTTCAAATTCTTGGAACCTGTTCCTGTAGCTGAATCATATGAGTTGTTAATGGAACTTTGGGAGCAAAACTGTCCCAGCAGACTGGAGACACTACGTCATAGTTCCAATTTTCAAGGGAGACTCCCATTCGGAATGCGTCAATCATCGAGGGATCAGTCTCATCTCAATAGCCACCAAATTGCTTGCGTCTGTCGATCTCCACAGACTGACTGGCGCTCGTGAAAGCCAGATTCGTGATGAGCAAGCCGGGTTTCGTCGAGGTCGGGACTGCATCGATCACATCTTCACTTTGAGTCAAATGCTGGAACACCGCCATGTTTATTGGCGACCCACCGTCGTCGTGTTTCTCGACATCAAATGTGCCTTCCAATCGGTTGATCGATCTACCCTTTGGTACTGCCTACTCAGAAAGGATGTGCCCGATAAATGCGTAAACATTATCAAAGCGCTGTACGCGCATAGTTCGCGCAGAGTGAGGGTTTATGGCAAACTGTCGCCGCCCTTCAGTATCACCAGCGGTGTGAGACAAGCTTGCCGGCTGTCACCTTTCCCCTTTAACTTCGCTATTGATGAAGTCATGGAAACCGTTCGCTGGACACGACCTAGAAGGTGTGGAGCTACTTCCTGGTGAGCGGCTTCATGACTTGGAGTACGCGGACCATATTGCCCTAATCTGTGACAGATCCTAAACATGCCAAGCAGCAGTGAACCGATTAGCACTGGTTGTCAGTCGTTTTGGGTTATGCATCGCTCTATCGAAATGCAAAGTACTTCTCTAAAATTGGCAGGAAACCACCCCTGCACTAATGCTTTGTGGTGATCAGCTAGAAGTTGTTCAGGGATTCAAGTACTTGAGCAGCTATATTAGCGCCTGTGGATCGGAGATTACGAACTGTATAGCAAAAGCTCGAGGTGCTTTTGCCAATCTCCACCACCTGTGGCGCAGACGCGCCATCACTCGCCCTGAAGGGCAGTTTATAACGCAGCCGTCCGTTCAACCCTCTTATATAAGGTTGTGAAACCTGGCCCATCAGGTCGACAGACATAAAGGCTCGTGACATTTCATCATCGCTGCCTTTGCAGCTTAGCTCATGTCTGGTGGGAACACCGTGTGAGCAATGAGCGTGTTCGGCGTAACGCATTTGGTGTAGGAAGAGCGAGTGAACCGCTCAGCACCATTATATCACGCACCAGGCTCCGATGGCTGGGCCACATGTTGCGCATGTCAGCACACCGACTCCCGCGACGTGCATTGTTTGCGCACCGGGGGTGCGGTTGGAAGAGGAGGAGAGGAGGCCAAGCGATGACTTGGTCGAGAGAAATGAAAACCCTCACTTCGAAGTTAGCCTCGGTTAGTGCGTCCCGACTGCCTGGCTGAGGTCCTAAGGACGAGGAACACGTTTGGTTGGACACACTTGCTGATATGGCTAGGAGCCGGCCCCAATGGAGTTTGTGTTGTGAGTTTCTTGCCCATCCCCTTCTGCTTAGCCTTCCCGTCCAATCACGGCCGCATTGGTTAGGCATAACATAACTTCTTGCGGCACGATGGCCGGCTGTTAGCTCTTCGGGACGATGTCTATCCGTTACTGAGGACTCAGCCGCAGTGCCACTGTATTTTTCTTTTTTTTCCTTTGTATTGCGGCACAATAACTGAGGTGTTTTCCACCTGCAGCTAACGTGTATAAGGATGATGATGATGTCGTTAGTACCTAAGAATTTAGTGTTCGTTCTAATATATATATATATAGGCAAATTTGAAAGGGGATGTAGGACAAATAAAAAAGTTAGTCAGAAGTTTTAGACACAATTAGTTTGAAGAAACAATTGAATCTTTCTTACACATTAAAGTTACTTCCTTTTCGCTGCGGTGTAAAGCACATGCAGCTAAAAAACTATGCACACGGGCCATCCAATGACTTCAGGTGTGCGCGACATGTTTTTGATTCACATACAGACCTCTTTCTTGGGTCCCCAACCAGGAAGACGCTTGGGTCCGGTGGTCGTTAAACGTGGAATCAGTGAATTCGTGTGCCATCCCAAAGTGGGAAGTTAATTGCCATGCGATTTCTACTGGCCCAGTACTACGAATGAGGCGTGGTGTGGTAAACGCTTGGATAACATGCACAGGACACGAACGAGATGTCTCAATATGCAGCAAAATAAGTAGGTTGAAAGGAGTGACCACACTTTCCGACGTCTAACTCTACCAATGCAAACTCGATGCTGCATCATACATAAACTATCGTCATCGAACGCCCACAGTCAAAAGTTTAGAGATGGAGGGCGCCATTCACGCGAGCTCGACAGGACCTGCTACCACGCGAAAATGAGCGAACGGAGGCGTAGTAAATGCGGTCCATTAACGAGGGAGGTGTCCCAACGGCGCCACAACTGTGTCAGGTTAACAAGCACCGACCGGGCTTCCGTAATGTGAAGCGTAACCACCTGTCCAATAGTGTCACCAACGGTAACGCAGCTCCTTAGGTAGGTAAAGCTCTTGACCTGTTCAACTTATCATTCATTTCATTTTACACGTTATCTAAAGTGAGGACACCTCAACCATTGTGCCTCAATACACAAGAAAATTAACAAAGGGTAGCAACACAGGCGCACCAGCTGAGCTACCAAAAAAGGATGGACTTGCAACCGGCTGTTAGCCCCAAAAAAAGTTGTGTGAGAAATAAGATTGGAGAAGGAGGCTAAGCGGGAGGGGAGGGACGTCCGAGTACGAGTCTTGAAGCAGCACTACACTCGGGGTAGGGAAAAATGACATTAGCAGCACGCCAGTATTTCGCACTGCATCGCTGCCGCGCGACAACCACTAGTTGCATGTGGGTCAGAGATACTGCACAAAGGCGGATTCGTACCGATGATCTCTGGACTACCAAGCGGAGACCTTAGTCTCTCGATAGCGGTCAAACGCCTTACCTTTGAGGACACCGGTGACGAAGAACACAATGGACTCAAATGATTCAATCACCTAACGGTTCAGATAAAGTCGTGTACTTTGGGGGTTGTCGCCGGGCAAGGCGCTGCCACTATCATAGTGCGAGAAGTCTACAGCTCTCGACAGGATGTCTTCAACAGTGAAATTGGAGGACGGTGTGGACATAAGACATTCTTGGTGTACACTGATACCGACAGTAAAGAGCAAATAAAGATTGCTGAAAACCCCGCTCTCCATCATCACCATCAATACACGTTACTTGAGGGTGAGAAACACACCACAGCTAAGGTGCCGCAATACAAAAAGATATAAGACAAAAATTATACTACAAAAAGTTAGAGCAGATAATATAAGGCTAAATATTATAATATGTAACTCGTATGAGGTCGGAAATGGGAGCGAATCAAAAAGGGAGGGGAAGACAAAAAAACTCGCAACACAAACTCCACTGGAGCCGGCTCCTAGCCATATCAGCAAGTGTGTCCAACCAAACCTGCTAATCGTTCTTAGGACCTCAGCAAGGCAGTCGAGATGCACCAAGCGACGCCAACTTTGAAGTGAGGGTTTTCATTTCTCCCGACAAAGTCATCGCTTGACCTCCCCTCCTCCTCTTCCAACCGCACCCCGTGCGAAAATAATGCATGTCGCGGGAGTCGGTGTAC